GTTTTTTACATTCATTGTGTTTTTTTCGCTAGTGGAAATAAACACTGCTGTAAGCAGAATGGGCTGGAAATGAACGAGAAGCCAAGACTGGTCAGGCCAGGGCCGCGATCGGTGAAATCTCTTAACTTCACATTGTTCAGCTATTTTATCTTCTGTCCGTTTCTGCTTATTTCATCTAAAGAAACAGTGCCAGGCATCACAGTACCACAGTAATGTCTTTTTAGAACCTTTGGACTCTAAAAATAAATGAGTACCTCTAAAACACAAATATTAAGGATGAGGAACTACTAGTCTATTTCACAGATATCCAAAAAAAATTCTCATTTACAATGACAGCCTGGAGAGGCTTCATTTTTCCAGGGTGTTCACTGGAGCTATTTTTGGAATGGCGTGCCTCACTCACTAAAAATAGAAGCTCCTCACCTGGGATTTGAACACAGGCTCCCCCCGTTTAAAAAGCCCAGACAACTGCTCGAAACACAGCCCCTGGGGGCGTGTCCCAGGATTGCTGAAGATCAGGCAGTACTCGCAGGCAAGTCTTTCACCTCAGTGCAGTCGTTATTTCTGAACACTTTTCCTTGAACTCTATACACTGGTACCCACTGCCATACACTGCAGGTGTGTTCGGGACACAGCGCTGTTGTCTGCAGAGGCAGCTTCCACACTCACGTCTCCAGTTCAGAGGTCAGGTCCCTCTGCCTCACGGCCACTCAGTCCACACTTCTAATCCTCTCCTTTGCAGGATGGCAGGGCGATCAGCACCTTAAATATTTTATTAATCCTGCTTAATCAATTGAGGAAATGAAGAGCAGGGTGGCTGAAGTGGACTGGAAGTGGCAGGTTGAGTTACCCTGCACAGCTGCGTGCCAGCCATGATAAAGTAACTAGAAAACATGGAGCCAGGTGATTACATACATTGATTGATGCTTAAAGGAAGTCTGAAATCCCTGATACCTGTGCATGCACGTTCCCGCTTCATGACTCATTCATTCAGAATTCTAACTTTCACTGTTTCAGGTGCTGAGAACAATTTTCCACATTTTCCTTGATGTGTAAATTAAATGTTTAATTTTACTAAACCGATACTGTCGCTTTAAGTATTGCAAGCTGGCTGATGATATGGTGATATTACAATATAATTGGTGTTGCGTCTTCTAAATCAGCTTTAAAGACCCTGGAAAAATTATACCAATAATTAGATCAATTAAGTTAATTATGAGCTTAATTTGGAACAAAAAGTGGAGGGCTACCTCCACACTGACTGATTTGAAGTAGTTTTGCAACCTGTACTGTAACCATGGAGTCATTAAAAGCGATCAGGGGTGGAATATGTTGCAGCGCAAACCAGAATAATTTGATCTGCTCACTCTGTGCTTGTGAAAGCTGTAATAATTGTGCAAACAGCTGAACATCTAACTTCATTGATTGGCGTGAGTCAGTGCAGATGACTCATGCAGAGGATACATTGCTGTGTAATACGGTATTTTCTAAAAACCTTCTATTTACCTATAAATGCCTTTCTTATCTCCAAGTGTCTCTCTCTTGCTCTAAAACCAGCTTCAAGGACAAGTCGCAGTTGCTGGTTCCTGGAATGACACTGCACCTCACCTTTCACTCCCCCTGGGTCAGTGGTGTCTGTTAGAGCTGGATGTCACACTGCGAGAGGACCCACAGCACATCTCAAATACTGCAATCCTTTTTTTCCTTTGGGACATTCTGCCCTCTCCTCCCCTGCCCTGAGAACCCAGCAAAGCCTCCCGAGTCACCTGGCACACATCACAGATCTGCCTCACCGTCGCGCGAATGACGTTCATATCTGGGTTCATGGAACGTAAAGCTCACTAACAGTGTCGAGGTGCACTTCATGTTTTCAGTGTCCTGCCACCTCATTTTCCCTCTTGAATAGAATCTGACACTTTCACACCTGCAGTTTGATATAAACTGTAGGTGAAGCGAAAAAATAGGGATCTTTTACATACAGCATCATTAGATCCCTAAGATGTAGTCTAGTGTTATATGTTGTAGAGTCCAAGGCCTCAGGTTTTATTTCAGTTTCTTAAATCAGTAGCTAAATATCAGAATTGATGTGACTAATGAAGCCAGTGAACTGGTGTTTCGCCTGGGATGAATATCATATGACCCCACTCCTTTTCAGAACCAGTGTTGGAGACCGTGATCAGCGTCATGGGTAATATGCTAAAAACCAGAAATAAGTCTGTGCCTGTGTGCTCATATCAATGGTTAAGATACCGGTGCCCTAAGGCAGGAGTGTCCAGTTGTATATTTTTGTCCCTAGTTTGGTCCTTTCTTGGTTCATGTCCTTCTGAAAACACTCTACTGTTTTTCTACTGTTAATCTGAGGTATTGATTATTTGTCACTACCTAATAATTTATTGTTAGTATTAATTGTGAGTTTTTTTCTGGATGACCTGGACACTGACAGAGATTTTAATTGCTTACAAAAAATGTAAATGTCAGCTTTCTTGGAGTGAAAACCAATTAAAAAGACCTAATTAATCAAATCATGAATTTGATTAAGAGCTGAATTGAGAGTCCAGTGTCCACTGTGTCAAGAGATTCCCGGATTAGGAAGCTCTGCTTTCATTCACTCCTTAAATGTTACTGGTATTTAAAAGGTGTTGCTCAAGGTAGCTAAATACACCATGAGACAGAATCTAAGTGATGTTAAGGGGAAATCCTGCAATGAGACCAGAAGTCACTTTTGTGGCCGTCTAGAAGAATTAACACATAGGGAATGTCAGTGGAAGATTTTGTCAGTGTTGTTTCTGAGTATGAGAGCTGAATGAGATCGGTATGCCTAGTTCCTAAATCTTTTTAGCAGTTGTGTAAGCAGTAAATTGTAACATTTTCCCTAGTCTTATAAATATCAAAAATCGCCTAAGATGTATGGAGTCATTCAAGAAGTGGTCTATGGTTCCTTGGAGGGCAACAATATCTATCTTGATACCAGCAAGAAATTATACCAGAAAGCCATCACACTTACTCTGCTATACCTGTACGTGTCCTCCAATTTCAGGAAAGATGTTTTTAAGTTTTGATTGGGCTGCATGTTCCTGGTGAACACAAACATATCTTCAACCTTTTCTCTAATTCCTGGACTTTTTGTAGCTCCAGTGTTGAAAGTCTTTGAATGCATTTTCTCCACATTAATTGGATTGAAATAAATAACCTTCTAACAGTTCCCAATGTAACAGTTCTGATTTGAAGATATGCCACTTTAATTACTTGTTTCTGTTAGCTGTGGCCTCCTTATAATCCCTATCTATGACGTGGCCTCATCACTCTGCTCTCCTCCCCACTGAGAGCTGGTGTGTGGGGAGCCTTCTGGCGCACTGTGGCTGCTGTTGCATTCTCCAGGCGGAGGCTACATGTTGGTGTTGTAGGGGAGTCCCCATTACCTTTAAAGCACTTTAAGTGTAAGGATTATTTATTCTAATTGTATTATTATATGTTATCAATAGTCCATTTCACCAGATCTCTAAAGAATCATTTCCTAATGTTTTAAAATATGTATAATTTTTTAGCTGATGTTTTTACGGCTTTTTAAGGTTATTTTATTCTCAGTATGCTCCTGTGTGATGCATCACCTGATACAGCATCTGTTCTTGTGTTTCTTATCTCACTTGCTGTGGCATAGCATTAAGAAAAGGGCATTTAAGTTCCAATAAATCCAAGTAAAAATATTTATTATCTACAGGGACAAAATATTGTGCCTAGTCAGTCCTCCTTTCACTGTTTGTACAGTTAGCTGTTTCCCAGCTCAGCAGTGCTGGGCCCCACGAGCCTGGCTTATACAGCTGTTCTTTGACCCGGCCCTATTGGACCTACAGGATGAGACGGGCCATTGGGGTTGACAGCCCCCCTGGAAGGTTCCTGCGCTGATCGACGGACTTCAGGCAACTGTGCTTTCATCCCAACAAATCCCCCGATTCTCTGTATCTTCTGTCTGTTGCTCTCACAGAGTTCCTTGCAATAGAATGTGGAACTCAATGCGTTCTTGCATTTAATAGATATAACACACACTCCTGTTATGTTTCTCCTATAGTACTGGGGAACTAATGCAGTGTTGCTAAACCGCAGGAAATGGCAGGTGTGATTATGTATTAGTATATTAATACAATAACATTATTTCAGTAGAATCTCACCAATTTTTATATTTCTCACTGAACTCTAAATACTCAAGTTTTTCTTTGTGGCACTGCCTGGGTCCTGACAGGAGTGCAGTTGTTACTCACCTGCTTACAGTAGCTCTGTTCCATGTGAAGAAACCCTGTGCTGCTTGTGAGCAGCGAGCAGTGGAGAGCACAGGGACCGGGAAGGAGAGGGGCTTGCCAAGCCCCTGTTAGCACCAGCCAAGGGGGAGTCCCCTCCTGCCCTCCTCAATAGCTGAATTTACAAGCTCTTAAATATGCCTTGGAAGGACAACAAATCTCAGGCTGAAATTTACTGCATAGTTTAGAGATAAATTCATGGAATGGGGAAAAGATGTGTGTGGACCCTATATTGTATACTGCAAAAGTCTGTTTAATTCTGCTAGAGGCCACAGAAACCATTTCTAGGTCGCATACCTGCTCTTCACATACAGTAATATTAACAGCAAAGCACTTCTATTATGCGTTTATGTTGTTTGTTTAGTGTTGCTATAAGCCACGTAATATTTCTGTATATCAATGCATTACTGCTCAGATGTTGGGGATTTATTTGTGCTATACTGTTGTGGCTGTGTACATCAATCACACTTAACGCACAAGCTTATGTCTTTGTAGAGATGAAGCAATTACATAGCAAAGAAAACTGGCCATTCAACACGTTTCAGTGCTGAAATTGCAGGCAAAACACTTATGTAAGTACCAATTATTTGCCCTTTTCAAACACAAATATAACAAACTGATGTCAGAATGATGGTTGAAGTAAGTAGACCCATTCTATAGGGCTTTGACAACATCAGTACAGAAAACATGAAAAGGCATGTCTTTGAATTTAAGTGAGAAGTGCTGTGAAATACATCCAGCCTTTCAAAATTCATTTTATTCCTGGGGAGTCTGGGAATCCTGCCCTTGGAAGGACTGGGGGACACCGTGATCCCCCCACTCCCTTGGTCACATCCAGCTGAATTCTTTTCCCTAGAACACTGCATGTGTAACCGCAATCCGCAATCCCAACCCTGACATCCAACAGGCATGAATGACTGGGGATTTGGCAGGACAAATCCATAAAAATGTCTCTCTCAGGTGAGTGATCACTCTGTCACATGGAAATGCTGGGAAAATAAATCCAGACGGACAGCAGCTTATCCATTTCAGGTCTCATGAGCTACAAGATCTTGTAAAAATCAAACCGATGAAGCAGAAAACCAGTTTCACATGTCTGTCCCTGCAGATTTATTCACAATAAGGTAGCAAAGCTTCCATACCCAGCACCTGCTGTGGGCTTGCGCACAAACACCCGCAGCTCTCGAAACCAGAAACACAGCTCGCCGCTCTGCCACGGGAGCGCTCTGCTCTTCCCCGAAACTAACTGGAATTTGGTTTATTCCCCTGTGAACTGACGCACTGGTGTGAGAGAACGCTTGAAAGGTTTGTGTACTAATCTAATCATCAGCATGCTTTTCACAGTCCAGAGAAGAAGGATCTTAAATCAAGAGAACCCCAGTTTATTCGTTCAGGCAGCTGGCGGGGTCCGGCCTCACATCCTCCGCACCTTGCGTGGGCGGCAGCCGTTGTGGGGGACGGGGGTGTTGTCTGTGATGGACACGACCTCCAGCCCGCCCATCGTTAACCCTTTGATGGCCGACTGAAAAACAGATAAAAGAACGATCACCTTGACCACTGAAAGTAGGCAGCCTAAAATATAATAAGTCATCAGTAACACCACCCTACTACGGTATCATTTAAATCTGGAACTGCAAATTATTCTCAAGTCTAACGATTCAATTTCTGCAGGGGCAAATGCTACACAACTCGGCTCACAACTGCACCCCTCAGACCAGGGCCCACAGTTATCACTGCGGGTCCACAGCGCAAACAGCCGAGATAGGCATCCGCTGGAGGACGAATGCAGCTCTCGCTTCTAACTCTAGTTGCTTGCAGACCCCTCACAAGCCAGTGGGTAGACAAGTACATCCTTATCACAGCCGGATAAAGACATATGCCTCAGGCTTACAATAGCAATTTGTATATCGGGGACACTCAAAGCATCGCCTTGCCAATCCACTTCACAACAACACTGAATACAACCACACAGTGTCCGATAAGTACCAGGGTGAGACGGGCACAAAAGCCACCAGTCGAGACGACCTGCATACAGCAACAGGCCTGTGGGAGGGATCAGAGCCAGTCGGAACCAGATGAGCACAGAGCCATGCAGTGCGACTGCAGAATGAATGGCCTTGAAGCAGATCCCAGGCCTGTGATGTAGTCTTACCAGACTGAAGACGAGGCTCCTCTGTCACTTATGCAGTTCAGCAAGACCCAGTCGGTTCAGACACAGAAACAGGGCAGGGAAAGGGAATAAACTAACCGCTGCTCCTGGTAGACAGAGATTAACTGATCCAGCACTAGCAGCCATTTCTAAGATGATCTTATTTCACTTTCAAAAAGGAAACTAACAGGATTCACATTCTAGTACTGATGTGTTATTATTAGGGAGATACGGCTCTAATGTGGTTTCAGCCTTAGAGTATTTGCTGTAGGTGTAGTATAAGGAATGAGGTTGTCAGCAGGCTCTGTGCACTGTACACAGATCATATCAGTTTCTCCACCACAAAGGTAAAGCAGATTGGGTGTGTAAACTTCTGCCCTGAAGATAATTATTTTGTCACTTTATAGTTACATATAGTATTATTAGAACATTCTGCAGTTTATAAAGTAGTAGTATTGTGTGTATTTCAAAATCCAGTCTGTACCAGTCAGCTGATTCCATTTTGGAAAGTCCACAAGATTCTTAAAATAAATTATAATTACAATACCATAAAGATATTTCACTTGAAGATGAAAATATCTTTAGATCCAAGTATACAAAAGGATCCCTGATTTTTCTTGAATGGCACTTGTCCATTTTTCTTTTGAAAACACGTTTAAGCCGCATTTTAATGCCCGTTATTGTTAGGAATGGTTATGCTCAGAACTCAACACAAAAGTAGGCAGATTTACATATTCAATGAGAAAAAGAGCATGTAATATCAAACATTCTTTTTATGTCTGCATTCCCAAATCTTTTTAAACATGAAACTCTTTGATTCCAGGGGTTACTTTTAAGTTACGATCAAACATATTTGAGATAAGTATGTGTTCTCATCAATAAAACTCATTTCATTAACTTTGAAACCAATTGTTTTAGCTTAGTTGAACTGCTGCATTATTACACTAGCTTTTACTTCAGAGATGTTTATTCTACAGAAATAAACAGGCTTATTGAGGCTTTCTGAGTGCCTTATCCAGGTTCAAGACAAATGAGCATTTAGGATTAAGATCTGGTCACAGTGACTGGCATCAGTTTTCCTAGTAAAATGCTGTATGAGGAGTCCCAGTGAACATGCTGGGCCTCTGTGAGCAGTGAGAACAGCTGGAGCGGGGTGAGGCGTGTATTCTGTATGACCCTGGACACAGAGCGCACATGGGGCCGATTATCCACTGACGGACTGGAAGGCTTACATGTGGAGAAACCCTGTTTTAGGTCCCAGTTTACATTCAGAATGGGTTTTTTTATTAGATAAGCCATCTAAAAGACCAGAAGAAATGGAAAGGAAGCAGAAACCCCCTATATTCTAGGTGAGCTCTGGCCTCAGACCACTGCCTTCCAGATTGCTTCTTGATCATGAAATCCAGAAGTGTGTAAATGTGACCGTGGACCAGGTCTGTTTTCCTATCGCTCACAGACCGAGCCGTATGCAAACTGATTTTATCATTAATTTCAATTTAAAAGAAAACACCCATTGTCCTGTTTCAGACTGCTGCAGACAACACACCTGAGTATTTAAGTCCTCAGAGATGCTCCCAGAAAAGATGTGGAGGAACTGAACCCCGAGACGAGCACTGAAACGCTCGATCTGTAATCAGTTTGGCTGTCATTCATGAGAATGTTCTAATTACAGTTATGGAGGAATATGGTATCCTGCAGCACTGCACTGACAGCGATCCAGGAACAATTTACTCGCCCCCTGTTTCCCGAAGCAAATGTAAATGTGTAAAGCTGTGATCCAAGACAATTTCACCTCTCTCCACCATTCCTGCTTAACCATTTTGGAAAATTAGGCGTCGTTCATTTGGAGGCAGAAAATTGCATGTAGAAAAAAAATCGTCCTATCGGTATCGTACAAATGATGAATGGAATATAATGAACACAGACTGACTGTTGTCTTCGTGTTTAAAAGCTGGAGGGGTGGACTATTGAAAGCTATGGCTTGAGAGGTGTCCCCAGTCAGAAAGGACTGGGGGCCTCTTGTTTCAGACTCAGTGTCTTTATTAATTAGTAATTTAGCAGACTTTTATCCAAAACAGACTTGCAGGAAAGAGGGGGTGAATTATGCATTAACAAATGCTGCTGCAGAGTCACTTAAAACGAAAACAGTTTCTCCTCCCATCTGCCGGATATACGAGTGAATCAGATATCCACAGCGGGGTCGGAGCTTGGCCTGGGAACAATCTCATTCCCGAATGGACTCCCTGGTCACTCAGCTGGTCTGTTTTCAGAAGTCAAAAACATAACATCTTCATATTCCATTTGCGAGGCGTGAAAGCCTTCCATCTGATTTACATTCATGTTTGCAATTGGAACCAAAAACCTAAATAGCAGTTAATATAAACCAGAGTGTTATTTTCAGGTTAAGAAAGGGATTAAACACACTTTCTTTAAAGCATCCATATTAAATTATACCTGCGAGTAACATGATTTCCTAATGAGCATAAAATAAAATACAGAATGTAGGTGTTCATGACATTTGCATCATTTCCCTCATTAAGAACTCACCTGCCAAGACAGACATGCCTTTGAGTGAACCAGCGAGTGAAGAATAATAAAATAAAAATACATCATCATCATCCTGTATCTGAACATGTCTTAAAATCAAGACAAGGCCATTATGTCTGCAGCCTGCAGGTGATTAGTGTGGGCTGCCGCATGTAGTCATGATGGGTGTGTGTGTGGGGTGATGATCTGTTCCCAGATTAAACGGCAGCAGTTCCACAAATATTACAGGATAAAATGAGAAGCGTTAGGCCTGGCTGGCCAAGAGCACGGCGGAGCCATTTAAGCTTGGCTCGGCGTGCCTCTCTCTCTCCTCTGTGAGTCAGAGCTCCTACATTAAGGGGCCGAGATGCGGGCGAAGTCCCTGCCATGCCTCATGAGGCAGGCGGCCCCAGCCCGGGGATACTCACCATGCGCCCCGGTCCCAGACCCTTCACGACCACCCGCACGAACGCCACTCCTTTAGCTCGCGCCTTCTGCAGGAGAGAAGGGGAGCATTCAGTGTCTCTGGACAGCAGTGCGACACCACAGGGGATGGGTTGTGCCTGAAGGCTGCGATGTGTGAGGAATACAGGAATACAGGACAGAACTGGACAGGAAGCAGACTTTGACCATAACACAAGAGTGGCTTTGTGTGCTTTGCTCATCTAGGCTAGGAACTTGTCGAGCGTTTTTTTTTAAGGGCAGAAGAAATACAAAATATTTTAATTTTGCCTGTTCCTTTTTGTTCTGCTTAATGCACAGTTGATAGAAAAATGTAAACTGCTGCTCTGGAGTCAGTCCAGATACACTCCTAAGCTTACAAAAATGTCCCATTCTCACAGACCACAACAACTGAAGCCTTGAATACAGAACACTAGAAAGGGTCCCGATTCAATTCCTAAAAGCCCTGACAAAGTCAACTCGGTGGACTTTCTCAGAATCCCCACAGACACATGAACCAGAGTCACATTTGGAGGCAACACGGATGGGCATTTAACACCGGCTCAGGAGGCACTGCTTCACACTGGCTATTTTCCGGAGGCGGCTGTATGAGGTCCTCAGAGCCATTTGTCTTCTAACGTGCAAGAGTGATAGACGGGACAAATAGCTTCCTCTTGTCTGCAAACCTTACGTTCAGAAATCTCAATATTTTACCACAGCATTAGTGAGCAAGAGCACATTTCACTCCCACTCATTCACACCTTGTCGTTTCAAAAAGAGAGAGTGCTTCCCTTTCTGTTTCTTTATCTGGACATGTTGGTTCTTGACATAAAGCGCACAACGACACCAAAACAGCATCCATACAGTTCAGTTTGAACTATACGCCACGTTCAAAATTTGTGTGAGATACATCTTGTGTCCTGTGCAGAAAGAATAAGAGACAGATCTGTACAGACATGACAAAAAATGACTCCATTGTCAAATAATCCCTGTTTTTTAGAAGATCTCCGTTATGGTGGGGTTGTAAATTAATTTCTGGAACAGGAAAAGAGTCACATCAATTTGGAAAAGCTGGCAAGTCGCAGAGCACTAACACTTCATATAGCATGAGAATTGTGTTACATCTGTAACAGACAGACACTGGCACAGAAAACAGGGCTCAACAACACAGTGACAAAACCCCCAAACCACCTCCGGGAGAAAAAATCATATTAAACAGGCTGAGAGTGAACGGCCCTCCTCACATCCACACAGCACACAAAGAAGAATTCAGCAGCTGCCTGTGTTCATCAACACGAGCTGCAAATCAGAGCGGTTCTCCTCTGTGTGAGTGACTGAGAGACTGTAGAGGTGAGCTCACAGTTAGTGTTTCCAGTTCATGCTAAGAACGAAACATTTAGCATGGCTTCCCTAAGTAATTCTGATTGCCTAAACAATGATTTGAAAATAACAATGGCCATGAAAAGATTGGTCACTGGAAGATATTGGTATTGACAGTTTAAGGCAGGAGGCACCATGTGCAAGTCAGGGCGTTATAATCAAATTATTGTTAAAAGTGTAGGGCTGTCAATAATAATAACTATTTATGTCTTGGGCAAATAAACAGGATTGCACTTTAAATATCACTGGCACATGTATTAAGCAGAAGCTGTGAAACCCTTAAGGCTGCTTAAAAAAAGGGAAAACCATTCATTCATTGACATGGATTGTGGGAGATGACTAGAGTGAGTAGATGCTTCCACCTGCTGGACAAGACCTGTACTAACTAGGAGACAACAGAGGAATAAATTAAGCTTGCAACTAATCCATTTTTAATTAATAAAATATCTCAGACCATTTAGACCACGGGTATCAATCTCAGTCCTGGTATTTTCTGGTTTTGGTTTCAAACTGAGTAGTCAAGAAAATAATCAACCTTAATATTTTCTTAGGCATATGTAAGATTTTTATTAAGATCTTACAGAATTGATTAAATTGAATTCACTGAAAGTACCAGATACCTGAAAAACATCTCTAAGCCTGGTCACAACTATTACAATTAAGATAATAATTAAAGCATGTAAAAGAGTTCAGGTGGACAATGACCACAAGACACTAGTCCCTCAAGTGGGCGGAGCGATGGCTCTGTGGTTGCCGGTTCAAATCCCACGGCCGGCAGAGGAATTCTACTCCGTTGGGCCCCTGAGCAAGGCCCTTAACCCCAACTGCTCCAGGGGCGCCATATAAATGCCTGACCCTGCGCTCTGACCCAAGCTTCTCTCCCTGTCTGTGTGTCTGTGTCTCATGGAGAATAGCTGGGGTATGCGAAAAGACAAATTCCTAATGTAAGAAATTGGATAGGGCTAATAAAGAAACATTAAACACACACATTAAGTAACTAAGTTTCAATCTCCTGATGTGGACGTTAACTCTTGACCGGTGTCTTTAACCAATCTCTGAACTGCAGCGCCTTGTACAGAGTCACAGAATTTCATTATTCGTTATGGAACAGAAGGTTTTTCTGGGCTGGTTCTGGATTGTATTTGAAATTGCTATTTTTTGGTTCTGACTCATCTCTCAGTAAATTGAAATCGTAATCAAACTAATAACGTATTCAAATTAGACCTTATTAGCTTTTTTTTCAGCCTCTGAGAAGTGTATGATTTTAAGTAACTTAAAAATAAATGGTTCTTGATAACTTGAAACCACTGCCTGTTTACTGAACTGAAATATAGTTCATAAGGTCTAATTGAGAAAATATTTTAGCTAAATGAAGCATTCAGTTAAGCGGCTGGTTATGTGTTCAGCTGGTGTGAAAACCGAAGGCAGAGGGCCATGACAGCACCTAGGCTTCAGAAGTAAAGTTAGGTGATTAATAACCCTCACAGCAAGCAAGACCAGGATTCGGCCAGCTGAGCCCTTGGCCTCACTGGAGACGTCCCTGCCTTACCGCTGCAGCCGATATCCCAGCAGTCTGAGCCGCGATGGGCGTCCCCTTCTTGACATTTCGGAAACCCTCCGTGCCACAGGACGTCCGGACCGTGTACTGGCCTTGGTGGTCTGTGACCTGGATGTGCGTGCTGTTGGGAGGATATCCATTTCAGCAAACTCCCAAAGACATACTTATCCACAAACAGGCTGTACACTTACACTGAGTATGTACAAGAGCAGGAAAGGTCACATTCAACTGCTTCATCTGAAGTGTCTCTTCAGTCGTTGCTGTAATCCGCGGTTTACAAGAAGGTTTAATGCTGACAGTATACGACACTGCAATTGTAACTGTATTTGTTATTCCACAGTCAATCATACTATAAAACTTTGGTATTAAATTCAAGATTAATTGTAACCAGTCAGAAAGGAGTAACGTGTTCACCCTTGACAGAAGTGATGTCACTGAAGCCGAGAGTGAGCCACAGCACAGTTCAGGGAGCTGGAGATTCAGAGAATTTTAGCAGTGAGCAGCAGGACACAGGGTGGACAGAGTCTCGGTAGTTCACTGCTGCCTCGCAGCTTTTGTTTCTGGACTGGGATACCTTTTAGACAACACTACAAGTCAGGTTTCAGACAATACTAAAACCTGTCTTGTACACCCACAAGACTGGGTGTTTGCTTTCCATCTCATCCCCTCATTGTTCTGACTGCAGGCTGCTTTGTTTAGGTTGCCAAAAAAAAGAAGAAACTGTCATGCTGTGAATGTTTTTGTGCTTTTGTTTATTTGTATGACAGAGAGGTTAGAGAGAAAACCACTCTGGCTGCTCGTTTGTTTACAGGAAACCATTCGTGCCCAGAACAAGGTCAGCTTGTGCTTATGTGGGCTTCCTCAATTTCACTCCCATCTTCCAGCGATATGCTGACCAGGCTACCAACTGTAAATCGGGTTAGAAGGGTCGTTTGTAAAATAACCCTTCTTATGTTCATTGGCGTCTCCAACTCAGTGCTCAGAGCTCCTGCCTTGGAGAGCCACAGTGTCTGAGGGTTTTTCTAAGTCACATGATGGCTGCAAGTCTCTGCTTTACTTGTGGCAGAGTGTTAATGCTCACACACTGTTCTGCTACTTGCGGAAGGAGCACAGCCTCACTTGTTGTAGGTGGCTTTGATGTGTGCGATGGGCAGCTCCTCAAACTTCTTTCCTCCCCATCTCAAGGGGCTGTCCTGCCCAGGGAGCGGAGGACAGACACTGTGGAAAGCAAGGAAAGGGGATGATTGATGTTGTGCACTGTCAGTATGAGCAATCATACAGAGATGATTCATGGCACCTGAACTGACAGCTGACATCGCTGTTGCAGATGGGAGATATCACAGCAGACGCAGAAGGGCCTAGTTTCATCATGCTTCACAGACAATGCACCAATACCCTTCTCATTCTGTGCGGGGGTTGCCTGAGCAGGATTGCTTTTTATCTGCTTTCATGCGAGACTAAGGTAAAAACACAGACATCAATGGTGTTGTTTTGTATTTCACTAAGAGGCTGTCACTGCACTACACGACTGTGCTATTCCTCAGCAACATCTCTGTACGGCACTTGATGACGAGAAGATAAGTATACAACTATAAATTTAAATATTCCTGTCGAAAGTACAAAATTGAAACAAAGATAAGCACTTGTTTAAAAGCAAGTTTGAAGTTATTTTCTCAAAAACATCAACTGACTTAAAGTCTCTTACTGACCGTGGCTGAGAATTTAAAAATAAACTGCAGACCCCAATCTACTGAGCAGACGAAGTGCATTACGCTGTGGTCCTGACAAGTCCTTAAGCTAAAGAAAAGCCCTCTCTGCCCCCTTACACTGAACGGCCACAATATTAGGAACCACTTCCCCAACGAACAGTCATGTTCAGCACATCAAGAACAGTGTGAGCAGGATGTGGCATCCATATTACAATACAATCACACGCCTAGCAGGATGAGGATAACAGCTTTCCAACTGTTCTCAGTACGATTTGCTGTAGACAGGGAAGGTGAGGAAGTCAGTCTCCTGCTTCTTTGACACATTACACATTACTGAGTTTACTCCTCTGCCCCGTTTGAACTATGGAGTAGTTAAGTGTTTTAGTTCACCAACTGGCGTACAGCCTACAGACTATAAGATTTTCTCCACAAAATGCAAACTGGCTTGTGCTCGGAGAAGACAGATGACAGCACGGAGAACCCGCTTCTCCTTTCTCCGCCCACCTGAACTCTCCCGAGCCCTGCGGGGATGCGCTGGTCTCGGCGGCCTCCTGGAGTCTGGCCGCGCTGGAGGCGAGAGCGCGGCTCACGCCGGCACTGCTGCAGGAAGACACGAGCAACACGCAGGTGAGAGAAGCAGGGTCACGCGTGCTCACGCATTAGATAAACTACAGACGAGAATTTTAGCTTCGTTGACCGGTTGATCTGAGACATATATATATATATCGAATTTCTGTAGCTTGATGGTTATAATTCGATGCCAGTGTTGGGCAATACAAGATTCAATATGCTTACCTAAGACTGGCATTTTAATCAACAGGTCAGGTGCCATGCGTTACTGACACCTTGCTTCTGAGCTCGACGCATCTCGCCTCTAAGCAATGCTGAGTGAGAAGTATCGCTCATTAGTTTAAACGCCGCGGGTCTCCCTGCTCAGCGCCGTACTTACACTGCTCTGCTTCCTGGGTTGAGTGACGCCGCGATCCGCTGGCAAGCGGCTCCTGCCACCGTGCAGAGCTTGCTGCTAAAATTATACATATCTAGAACAGCGTATTAAGGCAGAGCTCAGATTTAAGTCACCTCATAAGCACCGCACTACTGTCACCTACAAAACTATAGAGGGGACGGCCATGTGTTTTTCTTGCGAAGGTTAAGGGGTGAAATTATGACATATCTGAATACTAACAGGGGAGACGTTTAATTGATTCCACATAAATATAATCTTATTGAGGCAATATTTTCAGAAAATTAATAAAAAAAACAATTATCTTTGAAGTATAATTTTTTAAAACATTCATTATGAATTATTTGTAAAAGATCATGTGAATTCATATTTTGTTTTCCTCCTTGGACCCACATCTCCCCCACGTCATGATTCATTTGAAAGATTCCACTTCCGCTGCTGTCTTCGCAGGGAATTGTGGGACAAAAGTAGCGTCAAGATGGCGGCTCCCATAGGCAAGGTGCTGGTCCGTCCTTTGCAGAGAATCTTAGCACGGATTCCCTCCTCGTTTGTCCAGAAGGCCGAGTGTCGTCAGTTTCATTTTGGAATCCCGGTGAGATCTCAAAAACCTAGTGAGGCCGTGAGAAGCAGCGAGTCTGATTGGCGTTTGCTGGGTGCCGTCTGCCTGCAAAGACCGGCTGTTATCTCTCAGGAGCGGAGCCCGATAGAACAGAAGTTCGCAGAGCTCACGCATCAGGTGAGACAAAT